ATGAGCACACATGTGTGAGCTCACCCAGGTACACTCAGACAGGAGCCAAATCTGGCTCATGCATTTTTAGTTTGTGTCTTACCCAACATTTATTTTTTGGTATCTTATTTCTGAGGCTAACTTCTGAAGACCATGGCCATTGTGAGAGGAAAGGTAATGGGGGTGGAAGCATTCCCATTAGAATTGGGGCCCTCCTCCACACTCCCCAGAGAGAGCTCCCTGCCCATTGAGGATGGACAAGCCTGTCATCCAGACAACAGGGCCTCACCAGACACTGAATCTGAGCGTGCTTGATGTTGAACCTGCAGCCTCCAGAACTGTGAGACATCAATGTCTGCTGCTTACAAGCCACCCCTTGATTGGGCAATGTTAGAACAGGCAGAGGGGAATAAGACTGAGGGCACTGAACATGTATCCAGCTCAGAATCATGATGTTTGTTTGAGAAGGCTCAAATGAAAGAACATGTGGTATGAAATAACCTGTTATGATTTTTTTATACAACTGCCATCAGAACATGCTATTAAATCTCATAGAGGATTAGGAACCTATGAACATCTGTGGGTTTTGAGAGAGGCCCTACTGTGTTGTCCAGGCTCACCACACAAATCTCAGCGCTCAGGTGATGCTCCTGTCTCAACTGCCTGAGTAGCCAGGACACCAGGCATATCTTGCTTAAAACTTAATACTTTTATAATACTTACTACTTGCTTAATACTTATATAAGCATAGTTTTTTGATAGGGATTTAAAAATAGGGACCAAAACAAAAAAAGAACAGAGCATGGAAGATTTCCGTGCAGTGACACTCCTCTGAGTGATCTACAGCATGCACACGACTATACATTGTCCAGACCTCTAGCATGGGGTGAGAAGAAGTGACTGTCCCATGGAAGTTTTGGGCTGGAGAATGGGGGAAGGACCTGGAATTCAAAGCCCACATACGAGCCTAGATCCTGATTCTCGGAGGCCATTGAATAAGCTGTACCACACTGCTCCTTACAGTTGCAATAGATGATGAAGACAGGCACTTTTCTTACAAACTTTGTCTCTTCACAGAGCAGGTTTCAATTCACCGCAGAACTAAGTGTGCATGTTCTCTTGAGCTGGATAAGTCCTGGAAACTGTTTAGTCCTTATGGGATGATTTTTTTAAAAAATTTTGGTTGTAAAGGTGATGTACAGAGGGGTTACAGTTTACACAAGTCAGGTAATAAATACATTTCTGATTGAACAGTGTCACCCCCTCCCTCATTCTCTTCCAGTTTTCTCCCTCCTAACCCCTGCCCTCCCCCAAGTTGAACCTTATAGGATATTTAACGGCATCCCTCCACTTCACCATAAGGTGCTGATTGTCCTATCCCAAACAATCCAGGTGGCCTCAGGTATGGCCCCAGGGCCCTGGAAGAGGCAGGACAAAGCATGGATTCTGTGCATTTACCAGAACCACCAGAATGTGTGCATGCATCATAGGAGCTCCTCAGCCTCACCGCACTGTTTCTAAGTGTGAGGCTGGCATAAGGGTCTGAGGATTTGGTGACAAATCTGTGGCAAGCTTAGCCTGTGAAATATCTTGTGGTATTCTCTGGCCTCTTGTTACAAACTGAGCATCCTCCCAATCGCAAGGATGCTTCAGGGAGAGGAAGAGCCCCTGGCCTCATCCACAAATGAAGGTTCATGGGCATACACACTGGCAAGCATGTTCCTCGTTCAAAAATAGGGAATCAGAAATGCACCAAGGTCTCACTTTCTGTGGCTTTCAAACAACTATCTCCAAATCTGAAAAAAAAATGTGTAATTGCATATAGTTCAGGTGCACAACATTCTATGTAAGACATACAGAGTCTCTAGGTGGATGTTATATATTAGCGTGGAAAGACAGCATTTGAGAGACGTGACACCAGGAAACCTGACTTCCCACACACTGATCTTTCAAAATATTCAGCCTGGGTCCACATTGTGAAAAACTGCCAAACCAGAGCCAGGCCACACTTCCTGGCGTCTTCAGCCCCATAGCCACTCTACCCTGAATCTTTGTCGAGGGGGTCATTCTCTAGCACCACGGTTCCCTTCTTCTTTAGGAGATGGGGTCACTGCAGGCATGGCATAGATATGCCTGCTTTCTTGGCCTGTCCCCCAGCCAGCCTGTGAACCATGGAGGTGTGTACTCATCCCGGATCCTCCGCAGTCCATCACACCAGCCTGCATCCCTCGATCTCATCCCAAAGGTGCCCAGCACTGTGCTCACGGCTCAGGTGAAGTGGGGAGGGAGAGGTGCAGTCATGGCAACCTTGAGTCAGTGGACAGACAGGGGCAACTCTCTCCTTCATGATCCCCACCGGGGAGAGTGAGCCAGGCCTCCAGAATGACAACCCAGGGCCAGCAGGGATTTCTGTCTGCCAGGCAAAGGGCAGCCTCAGGCAGCAGAAGCCAGACCTGCAACACTGGGCAGATCAGGAAATTTGTGGGAGAAAACCTGGATTCCATTGGGCCTCTGCCACTCACCGTCTGTATTAGAATTTTCAGAACTGCAGTCTCAATAAATATCATAGCAGAATGCACTCAAAACATGTGTCAAAGCCGGGCGCTGGTGGCTCACGCCTGTAATCCTAGCTACTCAGGAGGCCGAGATCTGAGGATCGCGGTTCAAAGCCAGCCCAGGCAGGAGAGACCGTGAGACTCCTATCTCCAATAAACCACCAGAAAACCGGAAGTGGCGCTGTGGCTCAAGTGGTAGAGCGCTCGCCTTGAGCTGAAGAGCTGAGGGACAGTGCCCAGGCCCAGAGTTCAAGCCCCATGGCCGACCAAAAAAACAAAACAAAACAAAAACATGTGTGTCAAGTGCCCACAGAGAAGAAATACCGAGACCACACATAATTATTAAGTGAGTTTGATTGGTCATTCAAGAGCTAGAGCACACCCAGAGGTGTTTTAGAAAAACACCTCTTGACTTCCCCTAAGCACCTTCACCACAGCATGCCTGTTCCCTCAGACGTTCCTCTCCCTGCCCTCTTCTCTCCTGATGGCTCACTTCTTCCCACACTTCTAGGAGCCTGCTGGCAGCCCACTGCACTGTCTGCTGGGATCTCCACTTGGCTATTACCATGGCTGGGATAAGCAAGACTTGGTCCCCAGACATGGTACTGTGGAACCTGTAAGGGAGCGGGACTGAGGGAGTGTTCTGTCACTAAAGATGTGCACTGGAAAGGAGATATTGGGACCCAAGACTCTTCCTCTTCCTCTCTTTACACCAGCCATGAGGCTAATGACCTTCCCCTCCCCCATACTCCCTCTGTGATCACAGACACAAATCAAGAGAAAAGCATCTAAGCTAAAGTGAAACCACCAAAGCTGTGAACCAATAAGCCTTTTTTAAATTGTTTATGTCAAGCATTGGTTACAGTACTGAGCATTTGCTGCAGTACTAAAATGTAGCCTGACACCTGTATTAAATCCTGAACCCCACGAACAGGCCCTGACCACAATGATAAACCTGTTATCTAACATTCTACCCTAGACCAACATCCAATCTAAGGATGCCTAGACTTCTGTCCATGTCTGTGGCATCCATCCTGTGGCTTCGCCTTAAGAAATTAAAAAATTACATAGCTACCGAACACAATGGCAAGCCTCATGATTGCCCCCGTGGCTGGTAGGGCAGAATCTTTGCCTTTTCTCTAAACTTAAGAACCACCTTTTCTTCACAGAGGGTTTTGTCCATGTTTTGTTGGTTTGTTTCTCTTGTTTTGTGCTAGTACTGAAACTTACCTTCTTGCCCAGCTGATGTGCTCACGGCTGAGATTCTGCAACTTGAGCCACACTAGCTGCTTTTTTTTTTTCAGATTAGAGTCTGAATAGACTGGCTCTGAGCCTCGATTCCCAAATCTCAGCCTGCTGACTAACTAATATCACAGGGTTAAGCTCTCAGCACCCTGCTTCATAAAGGGTCCTGGGTCAATCCGCATGCACACAAAGTGCAAGGGGTTCCTTAACCCCTTCTCTGCCAACCAGGATCCTGATCCTGCATGGTTGACCTGTGTAGGTGGATAGGGGGTAGACAGGCTTCCAGAAAATTCCAACTCCACATTCTTTGTCTTCTGGCTGATCTTTCCTCAGCTCCCGAAACTGTGTCAGCCAGCAGTTCACCACTCACTCAGCCTCTTGGCTTGGCTTGCCCTATCCCACAACCTCTTCGATGTTTCTCCTGTGCCAGCCAGCTTTGTAGCCCCTCCCTCTGGGACCTTGCCAAGCCTTGGAAGGCTCAGTAATAAAGATGCCAGCCTTAGCAGTGGCTAGGAATGTCTGTCTGCACAGCCAGGCAGTGGGGGACTGTCCTACATTTGCTCTTCCCCTCATAGTTCAACTGTGGCAGATGTGGATGGAGGTGGCGAGGGCTGATGTGTTAGACACAGCTGTAGTGCAGCAGAGCTGGGGTGGGCTAGGAGAGATGGTGGGGTCAGAGGATCTGTCTGCAGGAATGGGTTCATGTCATATTGCAGGAGTGGTTGATCCCCTTTCCCTAGGGAACAGGTTCCTAGGAACCATCTCTAACACCCAAGAAAAAGTCAGGTGGAAGCCAAGGGGATACTCACTTCCAGGCAGGCTCAAGCATCCTCTGCAAAGGATGCTAGCGCTGGAGGCCAGACTTCCTCTGTCTGTGGCTGGTTGCACAACTCCCCATGTGCTGGAGAGAGTCCAGCCGGGACATGTGTGGACACACTAGCCACCTTCCTGCTTGGCCCATCCCCAATAACCAGGTCAGGATTCGCTCCTGCAGGCACACAGGGGAAAAGCCATGTCACTTACTCATCTGCGCACGGCACCAGCTGTAACTGTGGTGCTATATTGACGCTTTCTCTCTGGGTATCCATCCCCAAGAACAACCCTACATTTCTCCTCCCCATGCATCTCCAGCCCCTGGGAACCAAAGAACGTTTGCTTAGGAATTGGCAAGGGTATTAAGTATAGCAAAGCCAAAACGTAGCAGCCCAGCTCCGTGTCCACCTAACTGCTTTCCAGCCTCTCCGCGCTCTTCTCGCTCTCCTCTCTCTTCTCGCTTTCCTCGCTCTTCTCGCTCTCCACAGGGACGACTTTGTTCCGGCACTCTGTCTTTCCCAACGGCAAGCAGCAACAGAGCCCTCGGAGCCACGTCAGGCACCTCCTCAGTCTCTTCCACACCCTTCTGCTCTTCACCCCGATATAACTCTGTCCCGCGGGGGGCGAGTCCTGGGACTCTGCTGGATCTTCGTGGGGCCCGCTGTCCTTTGTCTCCGCCAGGACGTCGGGGGCTGGAGCTGGGGCAGGGAGGGGAGGGGAGGAGGCTGGGGATGTGTGGAGGGCTTGGGTGCTGCCCTTCTGGTCCTCCTTGCGGGCGAAGGAGCGCAGGGCAAACGCACTGGATCTGGCTGGGGGGACACGCAAGGACAGAGCCCCGGTGAGCGCCATGGCGGGATGCAAGGTCTTCGGGTGGTCGCTCTGGTCCCCGGACTCTGACTTCTTTTGCTCCAGCATCAGGTAGACGCCCATGAGCGCATTGTAGCTCTTGGCACTCAAGGCCTCTTTCACCTGCTGTGGGTCGTAGCCCATACCAGCCATGGCTTCCAAAATGGAGAGGTCCGGGCGCGGGGGGTGGCTCTCCGGAGCTGGGGGCTCCTGCACCCCCTGCTGGAGCCAGGGGTGCTCCAACACGCGCTGCAGCGAGGGCCTGCGCTTGGGGTCCACGGCCACCATGCTGGTGACCAAATCCCGGAAGTCAGCGGAGACGTGGGCGGGGAAGCCGAACTCACCCTTCAGCACCGCCTTCTCCATCTGCACGGTCGTGATTCCCCGAAACGGGGGGCGCCCCACCACCAAGGTGTACAGCACCACGCCCAGGCTCCAGACGTCAGCCTTGGTGCCATCGTAGCTTTCGTGAGTCAGGATTTCGGGCGCACAAAATGGCAGGGTGCCGCACACCATTTGCAACCTCTGGCCTTCCAGGCACCTGACGCCCAGGCCAAAATCACAAAGCTTTGGCTTGCCCTGGGCGTCAAGCAAAATGTTGTCTAATTTTAGGTCACGGTGAGCAATGCCCATGTTGTGACAATAGCACGTGGCATGTGTTATCTGCCTAAAGAGAGACCGGGCCTCCTCCTCCCACATGCAGCCCACAGTATCCACCAGGTCCTGAAGGTTGCCCCGTTCTGCATATTCTAGAACCAGGCAGACCAGCTCGTCCGTCTCTATGATTTCGTATAGCTTTATCACATTGGGATGGTCCAGTGACCTCATGAGGTCCCTCTCCATGTTAAGGATGGCATCGTCCTTGGTCTTCGGGATGACTTTGATGGCCACGAAGGTGTGGGTGAGGAGGTGCTGAGCCAGCTTCACCTCGGCGAAGCCGCCCTCCCCGATGTCCCTCAGGACCCGGTACTGAGCCCTGAGCAGCTCCTCCAAGGAGCTGTCCCCAGAGCCCAGCCAAGATCCCTCCTCCTCAATGTCACTAAACATCACGGAGAAGAATGAGCCATGCGGCCCAAGAGGAGATGGAAGGGAAAGGAAAGGGAAAAATAAAACCCAACAGATGGCCAGACAAAAGGGGAAATACTGGGGAAGCAAATCACAAACACCACACAGCGCTGCAAAGCAGCTAGCTGTGAGTCCAGCAGGTCACCGCCAACAGCTTCCTGCTAGGTGGACTCAAATGCTGTCCAGGCCGCTTCCTTATGTGCGCTGGGCCCTCACTCCGTCACAGTGGCCCCTGTGAGGTCAGAGCAGGGAGAGGCCCAGGCATGGCTGGTGGACCCCACAGTGGTTGTCTTTCTCACTGGCCTTAAGGACTATTAAGAAAGGAAAAAGTAGGCTGGGAAGGTGGCTTTGTGGTAGAGTGCTTGCCTAGCATACATGAAGCCCTGGGTTCCATTCCTCAGTACCACATACATAGAAAAAGCCAGAAATGGCACTGTGGCTCAAGTGGTAGTGCTAGCCTTGAGCAAAAAAAAGCTCAGGGACGGTGCCAAGGCCTAGAGTTCAAGTCCCACGACTGGAAAAAAAAAAAAAAGAAAGGAAAAAGCTTTGCTTAGGTAAATTGTGGAGATTCATATTTAATTATTTAGAATTTACAATCTGCTTCAGGCACCTCTGGCTCAAGTTGGTCAATCAGGATTTGTTCTGCTTTCTACAAGATGGAAGAGGCACATGCACCAAGGCCACGGTGCAGCGTGATCATGGTGAGTGGATGGTGTAGAGCTGGAAGTGGCTGGGCACTGGGGCAGACAGTCGGGTCTCTTGTAGAGAACACTCAATGCCATTATGGATGGGAGGGTCCGTTGCCCTCCAGAAAACCCTTAGTTGAATATTCAGTGTCAACCTGCCATCTTGGCCTTTCAGAACTTGGTACTCTATGTGCTCCTTCTCTATGTGACCTCGCAGCTGAGAGTCAGGGCTGAGGAACAAGGATGAGGTCTCAAAGTCAGTCCTCGTGCTGATGACCCCAGGTGCTCTGGGGTCCAACCACACTGCAGGTCCTGCCTTAAGACAAGGGGATACCTGGCTGCTCAGGTAATTTTCCTATGGTCTGTGAACCATTGGTTGTCGGGGGTGATGGGGAGGGGGGGGGGTAGCTTCCAGGTCTCTGGGAGATGTCCCTGTGGGAAATCCCCGGTCTACAGGAGGGCATGAATGGCCTCGTCAAGATTGTCTTCACCTAGCACCTAGAGCACCCCTTCTGAACTGTGCCCACCTATGCCCCCTCCTTCCCTGCCCCACGAAGTGTGTCAGCAGAGTTCCCTGGAGCTGATGCTGATTTCCAGCTTGGTCCTGAGCCTGAGTGTAAGCTCTCCCATACACTCTGGGGCATTTCATGGCCAGGGGGTATGAGCCAGGCTCAGCAGGAAATGGAGGCCTTTGTGGGTTAGGAAGGACACCGTGCTGCCAGCCAGCTGCTTGCTCTAGGATACAGGCCCTGCACTGTGAGTCGTCATTGCAGTAGCTGTATGCCAGGCAGGCCACTCAGGGGCCTGTGGGTACTCCATGGCTATGAACACCTCCATTGTCTTGCTACAATTGCCAAGCATGGTAGCAGCTGCTACCATGGTGGCATATGGGCTTTCCAAGATGCTGCTGCAGGCCCCAGGTTGAAGAGGCAGCTGAGAGTCACCTGGCTGCACTTTGTGAGTGAAGCTGGGGGAGAAGGTCACAGTGAGCTCCACTAGAGCAGGGAGGGCCCGCTGCCTTGTGCCACACATCAGCTCCCCAAGCCTCAGCCAGCCAGGCCAGATGGTAGACACTGGGACAGTGCATCAGTGAAGCACAGGATGAAAACAAGCTGTGTACAACCAACTTCAGTGAGTGTCACTCCGCTGAAGGCCCAGATGCTTCCCATGCGTTTGTGGTACTCTCATTCCACCCCTGTGCTTCTAGAATGTCCTATAGTCTAGGGGATTTCCCCTTAGATAACATTGGTGTGATCTTCATGCTGATATAGAGCCAGTCTCATTTCTCCTGCCAGGGATCTTGGTCAGACTTTGGCCCTGGGTGCTCTCTCTGGGTGCTGTGTCTGGTGTCACCCCTGGCAAGTGGAGGCTCTGTTCAGGACCTCCCCTTCCCCATCTGTGTGCCTGGGACACAAGCCCTGTTGGACAACTGAGACTTCACAGATGATAGTTTGTAAAGAGGGAAGACTCTTGTTGGGAGCCAGGCACTAGTCAAGGTCCTGGGGATGGACAGAGAAGTAGGCGGTGTCTCTCAGGGAATACATACTTCTTGCTGGAAGAAAAGTAGTGACAGATAAAACAAATGGAAGCATTCCTGGAAGGCGAGAGGCTGGGGAGGAGAGAAAGCATCGTGCTGAGATCAGAGCCAGGGAGGTGGAGGTGAATCTGCACAGCATGGCCAGGCCAGGCCTCTGTGGAGTCCAGCTGGGCCTTGAGTGAGATGTAGCTGAGTCCTGCACTGGGGAAAGAAAGCAATCAGGGGCACAGGAAGTTCCCCCCTGCATCCTTCCAGTGTGCAGCTGCTTGTAGTGCTGAGGAGGAAACCCAGGGCCTCACACACGCTAGGCAGGCATTCTACCACTGACCACACCCCAGCCTACTCTATAAAGTGCTTTGTTGTCTGTCTTCCACCCTCCCTGTGAGGAACTTTAGAAAGTGGCTGAACTGCCTTGAAGTTGATGACACTGAGTCCAGGCACTCATGACTGAAAGCCACTGTGGTCCTTTCCTGACTCTCCAGGGTACACTCAAGACCGGGGGCCCTCCGAGTGTCCCTGTGGGCCAGTTAGCTGAAAAGGACACTCATGCTCATAAAGAAGCCCAGCTTAAACTCCCCCATGTTCATGAGTTCGTGGTGGGGATGGGCCACCCAGTCCAGGAATGCTCCTGATGGGGAGAAAAGAGATCCTGGGGCATGAGGAAGCGAGACAGGGCCAGGGGCTTGGCCCTGTGTGAGCTCAGGCTGGCTGTAGTTGCCCATGACAAGGGTCAGGTACGCAACTGAGAGGACCCTGTGGAGAATGGGAAACATGGTGAGAGCCGGTAGCTGAGTCCTGAGTGTCCTAGCTGGATCTAGCTCCCCTTTGTGTGTGTCTGTGTGTGTGTGTGTTTCTTGTGTGTGCATGCGTGTATCCATGTGCGTGCATGCATGCATGCATGCATGTTCTGTTACTGGGGCTTAACCACAGTTCCTGGATGCTGTTCCTATTTTTGCTCAAGACTACTGTTTTACCACTGAGAGACAGCACTACTGCTGGCTTTTCAGTGGTTAATTGAGAATAAGAGTCTCACAGACTTTCCTACCCAAGCTAGCTTTGAACTGCAATCCTTAATATCTCAACCTCCTGAATAGCTGGGATGATCCACTATACCTGGCTCCTATTAACTTTTAAAATAGAGAGGTTTTTTAATTGAAATGAAAAGGTAGAGTACAGGGAACTTTAATGCATTAGCAATGTCCCAAGTCATGTGTTTCTTGTGAATTCATGACCATCTATTCATCCAAACCTAGAGTATGTGTAGCAGCTAGGATGGGCTGTGACCTCAGCTGTGACCTTGAGTGACTGTGACATCAGTGGATGTTCATCTGCCATAGCAGAGGGACCCCTAGACAGTATGCTGACATCAGGGCGTGCTGTAGCTAGGTGGAAGAAATGAGAAATCTCCTCTATCTGCTCAACTTTTAGGTGTTTAACCTAATGCTGCTTTAAAAAATACCGATAATTAAAAATGAATTCCACCTGATAGTTTATAGATAACAGCTAGAAAATGAGAATGTGACTTGTGTTGCATTTCTGGGCACAGGCCATCTGAGGCCTGGGTCCATCCCCAGATCAAGTATGTGTGCAAGCAAAGGGTGGAGTTTTCAGCCAGGCTCAGTAGGAGCTACAGCATGTCTGAGGCATCCCAAGAAGGGTAGGGGCTGGAAGAGAGAACTTTAGGCCTTCCCAACCTGAGCCAGGGTAGTTCTACTCTTGGCTATATCTACTGAGGCTCTATGTGAGATTAATTTGTACTCTGCAGTGAAAAGTAGCAGTCTTAGTTGTTTATTCCTTTTTATATAGCCAAGAGTAGAATTACCCTGGTTCAAGGTGGGAAGGCCTGAAGTTCTCTCTCACAGCTCCTGAGATGACATCACACACCATCGTAACCAGACTGCTTATAGACAAGGAAATCTCACAACATTGTTCCTCAGGCTGGCCTGAATTGTGATCTTGCTCATCTCTACCTGCCAAACAATAAAAATAGCAGGCATGAGCCACTTGTGTTGGCTTTATTTTCAGTGTTTAATGGAACCTTGGAGAATGGTTTTATGGATTAGTGTTTATCTGCAGCTAGAAAGCCCCACAGCCTCAGTGAAGCTCTCCCCTTATCGCATTTTTATATCATATGCATTTGTGCATCTGATGGCACATTTTCTCCTAGACAATATTGCTGCAGATGCCAATGACAAGACAAACAAACCCTCATCTAAGTCTGTCTGAGCTGCCATCTCTGTGGATATCTATGACCACTCCTTGACTACCCAAATAACCAGTGTTATTTAGATATTTCCAGTCTCAAACAAAATACATGATTTTCCTTATTCATTTAGTTAGGATTTCTGCTTGTCTTTATAAGTTCAATTACAACAGCATTCATGGAAATGAAGGCTATCTCCCTGGAACATTCACATATCCTTGAAAATCTACAAATCCACCAGGTGTAATAAACAGTATTGGTTGAATGGTGATGGGTAGAAGGAAGAAAGGATGGTAAAGACAATTTATATCTCTGTCTTGATTCAAATGCCTTTCATAGGGACGTAAAAAGCATTTGAAGCGAGCTAGTCTGAGATGTAAATACCAAATGAAATTCAGGCATGAATTTCATGCCTGTAATCTTGGCTACTCAGAAGGCCAAGAGCTAAAGATGGAGGTCCAAAGGCAATCTGGAAAGACAAATCCATTGGAATCTTATGTCCAATTAGCCAACAAAAAGAAACAAAAGCCAGATGTGGTGGCGTGGTTCAAGTGGT